GCTGCAGCCGCGCTACGTAGGCGCGGTGGGCAGCAGCAACAGCAGCAGCCATTTCCTCCACAGGCGCATTATGTGGACAGGCTTGGAATTCCCGAACCTCCCCGGGGGAAGCAGCAGCAGCGGGAAAAGCCCCAGCTAGCTGCTGCTGCTCTCTGGCTAGCTGTGCTGCAGCTAGCTGCTGCACCAGGTGTCTGTGCAGCTCCGACACGCGCTGGCTGAGGCCCGCAAAAGAAACAGCAATTGTGTTCACCTCCACCAGCCGCAGCGGCCAGGCTCTTGCCTCTTCTGCTGCTGCTGCTGCTGATTCTGTTGCTGCTGCTGCTGCTGGGTGCTGCTGCTGCTGCTGCTGCTCGATAGAGGTGTCCAGCATGAAGTCTGTGCGCAGCAAATGAAGCCGGATGTCCTTCTGAATCGAGCGCGGCGCACCTTTGCTGCTGCTGCTGCTGCTGATGTACACCCTCTGCATAATCCGCAGCAGGCGGGCGAGGAAGGAATCGTGTGCTGCAGCAAGCTGCAGCTGCTGCAGCAGCCACTGGGGGTCTGTTGTGATGTTGTCTATGAGCCTGTTGAAGTGGGGAGCCACAGACAATGCCTGCAGCAGCAGCAACAGCAGCAACCGGGGCGGCACCAGCAAATGAAGGGCGGCAGGAGCCACAGCAGCAGCCGCAACAGCAGCAGCCGCAACAGCAGCAGCAACAGCAGCAGCAATAGCAGCCGCAGCAAACTTCTTGGGCAATTCACCTGCTTATAGCGACAAAATGGGAACGGAGAAGGAAGCAAAAGAAAAGGAGCAATCCGAGCCCTCAACAAATCCGCGGCAAACTGATCAAGCTGCTGCTGCTGCTGCTGCTGCTGCTGCTTCCGGTGTTGCAGCTGTTGCTTTTCTTGCTGCTGCTGCGGTTGCCGCAGCAGCAGCAAACCGCTGTTCATAGCCAAGTGCACTGCCCGCAGCAGCAGCTGGGGGATGCTGGAGTCGCTGAGCAGCACCCGCTGCATTTCTAAAGGCTGGTGCTGCTTCAGTAGAAGGGCAGCTGGCTGCGCCTCATGTAGTACATGCTGTGAGCCTTTGTGTGGGTGAGAGGTGCCATTGGCGTCCACCGTTGCTGCTGCAGTAGAAGTTGCTGCTGCTGCTGCTGCTGCAGCAGCCGTTGCAGTCGCTGCTCCTGCTGCTGCTGCTGAGTCATTGGAGGCGGGGGAGACGAGCTGCACAGCGGAGAGCACGCGTAGCAGAGCAGACAGCACATCCTCCCCACTTGGTGAAGGCCTTGACTGCTGCAACATCGCCTGCTTCTGCAGCTGGTCTTGCTGCTGCTGCTGCTGCAGTTGCTGCTGCAGCCGCAGTCGGCTCCGCGTGTACGCAGCGTTGCTTACGGCATCTGTCCCCCCGAAGCCCTCATATACTCGGGGCCCCACGCCCTCCGCAGATGCCGCCTCAGAGCAGCTGGCGCTTGCTGCTGGCTGCAGCAAATGCAGCAGCGGCAGCAACTGCAGCAGCAGCGCTTGGAAGTTGCAGT